TTTTTTTTTTTTTTAAAGTAGTAGTAGTCTGGACACGGTGGTTCACACCTGTCATCCCAGCATTTTGGGAGGCTGAGGCAGGAGGATCACTTGAGTCCAGGTGTTGGAGACCAGCCTGGGCAACATGGTGAGACCCTGTCTCTACAAAAAAATAAAAAAATTAACTGGATGTGGTTGCGTGCAGCTGTAGTCCGAGCTACTTGCAAGGCTGAGGTGGGAGAATCACTTGAGCCTACGAGTCAGAGGCTGCAGTGAGCCATGATCATGTAGCTGCACTCCAGTCCGAACAACAGAATGAGACCCTATCTGAAAAAAGAAAATAAGAGTAAATTGAGAAAACCTTTTCTCTGTTACTTTCTAGGTTACTACAGCTAAAAATACATCATCTTAAAAATTTTTTTTTTTTTTTTTTGAGACGGAGTCTTGCTCTGTCGCCCAGGCTGGAATGCAGTGGCGTGATCTCGGCTCACTGCAAGCTCCGCCTCTCAGGTTCACGCCATTCTCCTGCCTCAGCCTCCCGAGTAGCTGGGACTACAGGCGCCCGCCACTGTGCCTGGCTAAGTTTTTGAAGTTTTAGTAGAGATGGGGTTTCACCATGTTAGCCAGGATGGTCTCCATCTCCTGACCTCGTGATCCGCCCGTCACTGCCTCCCAAAGTGCTGGGATTACAGGCTGGAGCCACCGTGCCCGGCGAAAATTTTTTTATGTGGAAAGGAGTGCTTTATTTCTCATAAGTAAATGCCAGACTGGGAAGTGTAGCCTCCAGCCAGAAGCCAGAAACAGGCACTTCCAAGCAATATGTCTTACCCATTTTGTAGATGATAACAGTTTGACCTCATGTGCTGGTGACCCTGCACTGCTGTTAGGAGATCACTTCTTGGTTCTCTGAGAAATGTAAGAAGTGTGTTGGGGTTGGTGGCTCACACGTGTAATCCCTCCACTTTGGGCAGCTGAGGCAGGAGGATTGTTTGAGCCTACGAATTCAAGACCAGCCTGGGCAACGTAGGGAGACCCTGTCTCTACCAAAATAATTATCCCAGCTACTGGGCAGGTTGAGGCAAGGAGTTTCAAACTAGCAGACTGCAAGGTGGAGGACAGGGAAGGGTATTCCAGACAGAGGAAACAAAGGCCTGAAGTCAAAGAGAGCACAGTCCATTGAGAAGTTTTAGTCATTTCAGGAAGATATGAATGAAGAATGTTTACATTATCCAGTTTTTGGTGATTATTATTTTGCTACTTCAGTAGTGTAGATTATTGAGATTTGACTATACTTGCTAGAGCACAGAAAGTTAAAGGCCTTATAACAATAATTCTCTTTTAAGGCGAAGACATCAGAAATTATACTTAAGGTCTACAGATTCTTTTTTTTTTTTTTTTTTTCCTGAGACAGTGTCTCGCTCTGTCACCCAGGTTGGAGTGCAGTGGCAAGATCTCGGCTCACTGCCAGCTCCGCCTCCTGGGCTCATGCCATTCTCCTGCGTCAGCCTCCTGAGTAGCTGGGACTACAGGTGTCCACCACCACGCCCGGCTAATGTTTTGTATTTTTAGTAGAGACAAGGTTTCACTGCGTTAGCTAGGATGGTCTCGATCTGACCTCGTGATCCGCCCGCCTGGGCCTCCCAAAGTGCTGAGATTACAGGTGTGAGCCACCATGCCCGGCCATCTATCTAGAGCTTCTAAGGAGAAAATGTAAATTAAACCTAACTTTGAGTTAGCAAATGATGGATAACTCTCTGTCCCATAAAAGAAAGAAGGGGTAGGCCGAGCACTGTGGCTCACACCTGTAATCCCAGCACTTTGGGAGGCCAAAGTTGGCAGATCACCTGAGGTCAGGAGTTCAAAATCAGCCTGGCCAACATGGTGAAACCCTGTCTCTACTAAAAATACAAAGATTATCTGGGTGTGGTGGCACATGCCTGTAATCCGAGCTACTTAGGGGGCTGAGGCAGAACAATCCTTGAACCCGGAAGGCAGAGGTTGATCGTGCTATTGCATTCCAGCCTAGGCAAAAGAGTGAAACTCAGTCAAAAAAAAAAAAAAAAAAAAAGGCAGGGCACAGTGCACAGTCTACTACTTCTTTCTCATCTAACTTTTGAATCTTACTGTGTTTTGCTTTGTTTCTGAGGAGGAGTATGTGTGGAAATTTAGGGTCTTTGTTAAGCTGGTTAGGAGATTTGGGTTAGGGAAGAGAGAAAGGAGTTCAAGAATGATTGCTACTTTATGCAGAACAACAAAAAAAATACATTTAAATAACTTGTTTCTCTGATCTCACTAAGCACAAGCAAGACTTAGGGATTTTGTCTCAGAGAGTTACTTCAACCAGACAAAGCATTTGTTCAACATTATTCACTGTGTAATATTTGTTGTGTCCCGATTAAGAGCATTGATTTTTGCTTTTTGCTTTTTGTATTTCTGAGACACGGATATAGCTGAATTAAATAGAAACCTTCTGTGTGTTCGTCTGGACTGAAGTGGCTGGGATCTTTTTTTTTTCTTTTTTTTCCTTTTGAGACGGAGTCTCGCTCTGTTGCCAGGCTGGAGTGGCAGTGGGCGATCGAAGGTCACGTAGGGCTCGGCCCTTCCCAGGGTTTTACTCCGCTCCGGGTTTACTCCATTTCTTCCTGCCTCAGCCTTCCGAGTAAGCTGGGACTTACAGGCGCCCGCCACCTCGGCCCGGCTAGATTTTTATGTATTTTTATTAGAGCGGGTTTCTCACTTGTTCGCCCAGGTATGGTCTGCGTCTCACTGACCTGTTGATCCGCCCGTTCTCGCCTTCCAAAGTGCTGGGATTAACAGGTCTTGAGCCACCCGCGGCCCGGCCGGGATTTTTTTTTGTTTTTTTTTGAGACGAGTCTCGCTCTGTCGCCAGGCTGGACGATGCACGTGGCCAGATGGCAGCATCTCAGTCACCTAAAGCTCCGACCTCCCAGGTTCACGCCATTCTCTGCCTCAGGGCTCCCGAGTAAGCTGGATTTTACAGGCGCCGCCACCTCGGCCCGGCTTGTTTTCTTTCTTTTTTGTATTTTTTAGTAGAGACGGGGTTGCACCATGTTAGCCAGGATGGTCTCGATCTCCTGACCTCGTGATCCACCTGTCTCGGCCTCCCAAAGTGCTGGGATTACAGGCTGGAGCCACCGTGCCCGGCCAGTGCTGGGATTTTTATGTGGATTAAAAGAGAAGAAAAGTGTTATGTGTGGAATAGGAAAGAACAAGCTTAGAAAATGTATGTAGAGTTAGTGGTCATTTCTCACCCATTTTTATTCTTGATGTCTCAGTAGCATTTGACAGTCTGTTGCGCCCTAGCTTCACTTGTCTTCCAGGATGTCACTCCCTTGTTACTGTTCCTGCCTCGCTGGTTCCTCCTTCTCAACTTTTTTTTTTCTTATTCTTCATCTCCTCAGCCTCCATTTATGGAGTACTCAGAGCAATCCTTGGATCCCTTCTCTGTCTACACTCTTTTCCTAGGTGCTCTCTTTCAAGACTTTATTTTATTTACTTATTTTTTTTAGAGACGGAGTCTTACTCTGTCACCCAGGCTGGAGTGCAGTGGCTCAGCTCACTGCAAGCTCCTTCTCTCGGGTTCACGCCATTCTCCTGCCTCAGCCTCCTGAGTAGCTGGGACTACAGGCGCCCGCCACCTCGCCCGGCTAGTTTTTTGTATTTTTTAGTAGAGATGGGGTTTCACCATGTTAGCCAGGATGGTCTCGATCTCCTGACCTCGTGATCCGCCCGTCTCGGCCTCCCAAAGTGCTGGGATTACAGGCTTGAGCCACCGCGCCCGGCCGACTTTATTTTTTAGAGACAGAGTCTAACTCTGTTGCCCAGGCTGGAGTGCAGTGGTATGATCATAGTTGACTGTAGCCTTTGATTCCTGGTCTCAAGAAATCCTCCCACCCCTCCTCAGTCGCTAGTACTACAGGTACCTATCACCATGCCTGGCTAATTTATTATTTTTTTGTAGAGAGAGGGTCTCACTATGTTGCTCAGGCTGGACTTGATTAAGACTTTAAATGCCGTTATTCCCTGACAATTCGTGAGTTTACATTATTAGCTTGAATGTCTTTCCCTGAACTCAAGACTTATATCCAACTATTCACTGGATATCTCCACTTGGGTGTCTAATAGTCTATTGAACTTATTAAAAAACTTCAGAACATCTCCTCTCAAATCTGCATTTCTGGAAGGTCCTCCCCATCTCAGAGTTGCTATTCATCTGTGTATTGAATATATAGAGAGTCTCCCTTAACTCTTGTTTTTTCATTCTCCTCATCCATTTCACCAGCAGGTCCTGTCAACTTCTCCTTAAAATATATCCAGTATTTAAACACTTCCCACCACCTGCCCTGCTGCCACTGGAATAGCTTTCTAAATGATCTTCCTCCTTTTGCTCTTTGCCCCCTAAATCTAATTTTAACAGTGACCAGAATAATTCTTTTAAGTGTGTATTAGATCAAGTCACTGCTTTGCTGAAAACTGTCACCTGGGTGCCCAGATTAAAATCCCACCTGGATTAAAAGGTAGTGTCCCTATCATGGTCTACAAGACCATATAGGATCCACACTACCGTCTCCCAGTGCTCTGACTTCATACCACTTCCCCTTGTGCTATAGTCACACTGGTCTCCTTTGCAGTTGCTCCAGCGTGCCGTGCCTTGGGGCGTTTGTAGTTGTTTTTTCTGCCAGGAACATCATTTTTCCAGATGTCAGTATGGCCTTCTCCCTTATCTCCTTCAGGTTTCTGCTCAACTGTCATTTAATCAGTGAAATATACCTTAACTGCCTTATTTAAAATAAAAGCTATCTCTCTGCATTCTGCTTTCTCTGCTCCCCTTCCCTGTTTTACTTTTCTGCATAGTGCTTGCTATTTGACATACTGTTCATTCATTCATTGTTCATTATTTGGTAAGTACTTATTGAGTGCTGTCTGCTGCGTGCCAGGCATTGTGTTCTAGGGACTCTCTACCATAGTTTATTACATGTCACCACCCACTAGAATGTAAATTTCATGATGGTTAGGGTTTTGTTTTGCTCATTGCTATAGCCCCACTCCTAGAACAGTGCCTTTGACATAGGAGCTGAATGAATAAATTTATTTAATTTTTTGTTTTTTGAGACAGAGTCTTGTTCTGTCCCCCAGGCGGGAGTGCAGTGGCGCAATCTCGGTTCACTGCCACTTCTACCTTCCAGGTTCAAGTGATTCTCCTGCCTCAGCCTCCTGAGTAGCTGGGATTACAGGCGTGTGCCACCACGCCTGGCTAATTTTTGTATTTTTAGTAGAGACGGGGTTTCACTGTGTTGGTCAGGCTGGTCTCAAACTCCTGATCTCGTGATCCGCCTACCTCGGCCTCCAAAAGTGCTGAGATTACAGGAGTGAGCCACCGCGCCCGGCTAATTTATTTAATTTTTATTTTTTATTTTTTTGAGACAGAGTTTCACTCTTGTTGCCCAGGCTGCAGTGCAGTGGCGTCGTCTCAGCTCACTGCAACCTCTGCCTCCTGGCTTCAAGTGAGTCTCCTGCCTCAGCCTCCTGTGTAGCTGGGACAACAGGTGGACACCCCCATGCCCAGCTAATATTTTGTATTTTTAGTAGTAGAGACGGGGTTTCATCACGTTGGCCAGGCTGGTCTCGAACTGCTGACCTTGGGTGATCTGCCCTCCTCGGCCTCCCCAAGTGCTGGGATTACAAGCGTGAGCCACTGTGCCCGGCCGACAGTTTCTTTTTAAAGTAAATACTATTTATCTCTGCTTTATTTTGGAAAAAAAAAAAGTTTTATAATCAGTGTATGCTTTTTTTTTCCAATGAGAGTAATAAAGGTTTTATTTTTAAAAACAAAGACTTTAGAATATTGCTTTTTATAGAGTAACATGTTTCTAATAAATATTTCCCTTTTTCTCCATCCAGTTACTTATCCTGTATTACTTGAGGGAAATGAAACAAAAAGACTACAGCCCCACTCCCAGCTACTCCGTGAGGTGGTAGCTAGGTAAGAAAACAACCCTTTCCTTTTAGATGAAATTGGAACTTAGGAGGTAGTAATCTTTGGGAGAGGCTTAAAGGGATTGATAATGATGATAAAAAATAATAGTAATGGCCATTTTTGATGAACCAGGCACTGTGCTAAGCACTTTATGTTGGTTGCCATCTTCTAACAACCATATGATTGTTGTACTATGAGAAGTAGAGCCAGTGTAGTGTAGGAGTAAGGAGCATAGACTTTGGAGTCGGACCTCTTGCTTTGACACCTAAGTTTTGCCAGTAACTGATTGTGTGGCCTTGAACAAGAAAACTATGCCTCATTTGTACAGATAGTCCCTGACTTACAGTGGTTCGACTTACAATTTTCAACTTTACGATGGTGCAAAAGCCATATACGTTAATTAGAAACTGCACTTGAAATTCTAAATTTTGATCTTTTCCTGGCCTAGTGTCACATGGTATGATATATTCTCATGATGCTGGGCTGCAGCAACAAGCTGCAGCTCCCAGTCAGCCATGCAATCATGAAGGCAACCAATATTGCACACTGTACTATTTTTAATAAATTACATGAGATATTCAGGTTTATAATAGGTATTGTATTAGATGATTTTGCCGAGCTAGAGGCTAATGAATATAAGTGTTCTGAGCATATTTAAGATAGACTTGGCTAAGCTATGATGTTTGGTAGGCTAAGTATATTAATTGTGGTTTTGACTTACGGTATTCGGGATGTAACTCATCATAAGTCAAGGAGCATCTGTATCTGTACAGTGAGGATAATGATAATACCTACCTCCTAAGATGGTGGTGACAGTTAAATGACATAAACTATGTAAAGTGCTTAGCATAGTGCTTGGCACATAGAAAGTGCTTACCAAATGTCAGCTGTTATCATAAAAATTAAAATAGTTGTTATTCTCATTTAAAAGATGGATGAACAAAGGCTTAGAGAAATAAGGTAAATAAAGTAATTTGCTTAGGTCACACAGTATATAAATGATGGAACTAGTTTGCACCCAGGCAGTCAAACTCCAGAGCTTTTGCTATTAACCATTATGCTGCATCACCTTAGTAGGTTGAGAGGAAGACTGGGCAAAAACTGCATCTTGTCAAACTTGAGTGTAGGGGTAAAGGTCAGGCTTGAGTTCTGACTTACCTAACCTGCATTGTGATCTTAAGGATCTTATCAGTGTAGCATGTGCCTTGATTATTCTCTGAATTGATTCTTCCCTAGATCCAAAGACATGAATGATAGGTTAGTTACATTCTTCTGCTGAGGGTTTGGGTGTTTTCTGGGCCAGAAAATGGAGCTTAAGAAACACCTGTGTCTCAGTGCTTTTTGGACCAGAAGTAAGAGCTTGTCCAGCCTCTCTTGCTATTATGCTTGTTTATTTTCTCACGTGACTGGTAGTGATGAGTAGTAGAACAGCGTACACATTGAGAATTCTCTTTTTTTTTTTCTTTGAGACGGAGTTTCGCTCTTGTTGCCCAGGCTGGAGTGCAATGGCGTGATACTGGCTCACCGCAACCTCCGCCTCCCAGGTTCAGGCAATTCTCCTGCCTCAGCATCCCAAGTAGCTGAGATTACAGGCATGTGACACCATGCCCGGCTAATTTTGTGTTTTTACTAGAGATGGGGTTTCTCGATGTGCCTCAGGCCGGTCTTGAACTCGCAGCCTTAGGTGAGCCGCCTGCCTCAGACTCCCAAAGTGCTGGAATTACAGGCATTGAGCCACTGTGCCCGGCCACACATTGAGAATTTTCTACATGCTATGTACTCTACACGAATTATCTCATTTAATCCTTAAAAATAACCTCATGGTGACTCTTATCCCTGTTTTATAGAGTTGAAGAGAGGTTAGAAAACTTGCTTCAAGTTGAGCAGTTAATAAGTAGTAGAGCAGGGATTTAAATAAGGCAGTCCGACCTCAGTTCATGCTTGCGTTTTTTTTGTTGAGATGGAGTCTTGCTCTGTGGCCAGGCTGGAGTGCAGTGGTGCGATCTTGACTCACCGCAACCACCTCCGTCTCCTGGGTTCAAGCGGTTGTCCTGCCTCAGCCTCCTGTGTAGCTGGGACTACAGGCACGTGCCAGCATGCCCAGCTAGTTTTTGTATTTTTTAGTAGAGATGGGGCTTCACCATGTTGGCCAGGATGCTCGATCTCTTGACCTCGTGATCCGCCCCCCTTGGCCTCCCAAAGTGCTAGGATTGCAGGCATGAGGCACTGCGTCCAGCCCCGAGTTCATGCTCTAACCTCTGCACTCTACTGCCTGTAGTCTTTTCTTACCTCTGTTAAGTAGGTAGTGTGGACTGTGTGGTTTAAGAGTAGTAGGGCCAGTTCTGTTTTTCTCATATGAAAAATGGGAAGATTTTGACCACTGGACTAGGAATAACGAGGACTATGATCTTGTCTTGGCTCTGCCACCAACTTGCCATATTTAGGATTTCACTTTTTTTAGTTTTATGGTGCTCATTTATTAAACAAAGGGGTTGCGACCAGGCACAGTGGCTCATGCCTGTAATCCCAGTACTTTGGGAGGCTGAGGTGGGTGGATCACGAGGCCAGAAGTTTCAGACCAGCCTGGTCAATATGGTGAAACCCTGTCTCTACTAAAAATACAAAAAAAAGGCCGGGTGTTGTGGCGTGCGCCGGTAGTCCCAGCTACTCGGGAGGCTGAGGCAGGAGAATCACGTGAAACCAGGAGGTGGAGGTTGCAGTGAGTCGAGATTGTGCCACTGCACTCCAGCCTGGGCGACAGAGCAAGACTCTGTCTCCAAAAAAATCAAAAACAAAAACAAAAAAACAAAAACAAAGGAGTTGCTCTAGATGGCCTCTGAGGTCTCTTTGAACTCTGATGTCCTGTAATTGATCATAGGAAGTAAGAGTAACACGTGCTTAGCTCCTTGAGTTTGGGGCAGTGGTATTTGTGAGTTCTTTTTTTTTTTTTTTGAAACAGAGTTTCTGTCGCCCAGGCTGGAGTGCAGGGCTAATTCTAAAAATGTTTCTGTAGAGGTAGGTGGCATGGCTCATGCCTTAATCCCACCTTTGGGGAGCTTCCGAGGTGGGTGGATCCACTTAGTCCAGGGAGTCTAGATGCAAGCACCTGGCCAATGTTGCGAACCCATCTCTAACTAAAAAATAAAAAGTTCGTTGGCATCTGGTGTTCACATCTGTAATCCCTACCTACTTTGGAGGGCCGAAACAGAGAACATTGCTTGACCCAGGGAGGGCAGAGGTAGCAAGTTGGGCCGAATCTGTGCCACTTGCACTCTCAAGCCCGGGCCAACGAGAGCAGGACTCTTCGTTATAAAAAAAAAAAAAAGAAAATTTCTTGTAGATATTGGGGTCTTAATCTATGTTGCCCTGGGTTTGGGCCTTGGACTCCCTGGACCTTCAATCAGTCCTCCTGCCTTGGCCCCCTCCCATAAGTTGCTGGGGTTACAGACATTGAGCCCAACTGCGCTCTGAAATATTTCTTATGTTGAATTGGAAATCTAATCGGAAAATTTCTCCATTAATTTTTATTTTTAATTTTTGTTTGAGACGGAAGTTCCCAACTCTGTCGCCCACGCTGCGAGTCAGTGGCCATGATATTGGCTTCACTGGCAGCCTCCACCGTCCT